CACCTTGCATAGTGGAGAACAACACCTGAAGGGTGTTTAAAGCTGAGTAGTTGATCCCAGGTAAGTGCCTTTGCCCTGAGCCCTGCAAGAAATTGAAATGCCAGTAACTTACAGCACACAGGAAGAGCAGCTCCGTGCACACAGCCTTTCCTCCTGGAGCAGGTCTTGTGTTTCACTTAATTCTGCTTGCAGGGAGCGTTGGTAATTCTTCAGGGGTTACAAGGAGCATCTGCAGTCTCTGCTGTGGAAAATTGTGCCACTCGCAAGCAAACAACAGAGACCACAAATGGTTCTTGTGTGTCTGTCTACACCAAATACGAAAGGAGGGGAGCCCTGACTTCATCTTAGTTTCCAACACTGGGTCACACGTTGTGTTTCCATAGCACATGTTAAATACTCCCGTTTTAAGCAAGCAGTTCCCTTCGTGGAGCTGTGAGGGTGCGGTGTTTGCTCCAGCCCAGCTTCCAGCACACGGGGAACATCAGCCTTAACAGTGTTCAGGTTGGTGGAAGTTTGACATTTCGTTAATCCTCGTTTTTAGGAGTTAACGGGGTGGGAAATTGAGTCTGAACTGCAAGAAATGGCCATTTCTGTGGTGTCTGGTTGACGCAGCCGCTCCTCTGTTCTGGCAGGGCACGGGCTGTCCCCACTGGTCCCTTACGGGGTTCCAAGCAGGGGCTCATTCTGGCAGTTCCACTGTACCTGCTCACGTTAGTTTGATGTTTATAACCCTGTGTTTTTACGCTGGCAAACACTAAATCTCGAGCAGATGTTTCGGACAGGAATTCAAACCTGAAGTTTCATCGTCCGGTTTATTTAATGTGTTATACGAAAAACAACTCCAGTTCTCTGTGGCAAATTGGGTTGGGATGTTTTTTGGTGTATTTATGTGCAATTTTGGTTGTATCCCACGAAAAGAATATTTTAAAGAAATGGTGTATAAGATGTTGTGTGTTAAAGCAAAGAGGGCATTGGTGGTGGAGGTGGGGGAATCCATCGGAGGGTTTGGTGGTTGCTGGTGTTTGGACACTGAGTCCCTGGGGTCACCTCGTGTCCCCCCTGGAGCCCTGAGCAGCGTTTGCGGCTCAGAAAGGTGACACACGTGAGACCGAGCAGCTCGGGGGTCCCTGATGGCATTTGGTGACGGGGGCGAAACAGCCGGGGTTTGGCTCTTCCCCCGTGGGAAGGGGGAGCTTCCTTAAAGGCCCCGGCCTGGGTGGCCTGGTTAAAATAAAGAAGTGAGAGACAACTTTGGATAGTGCCGAGAAAAACGTCTGCTCTTCTCGGTAGCGACGCGATGGCAAACGGTGTTTTTATCCTTTTCTTGACTATGAATGGTTCTTGGAAAAAATGTTTTAGAAACAGAGGACTTTTAAGGTGAATTGGGACATCTAAAAAACCTCTTTTGTATAGATACTGTGGTGTTTTACAAAGCAATCTAATGTTGTTATTTCTGAAAGCAGTGTAAACGTGTAATTAACAGAGTAAAGGATTTTAAGGCTTCATCCCATGCTGTATGTCTGTAAATACATTCCATAATTTCAAAGTCTGTTACATATAAATGTGTCTGAATATTGTATACTTTATTTTAAATTGCCTGTATTCTGCCAGTAGCGTGAACTTCTAGCACATTGATAAGAGAAGAGGAAACCATGGGTAATTTGAAATAAAGTTTTAAAACCTACATGAATCAGGGTGTATTTTCCTGCTGTTTTTCTGTTGCATCCATGAATGTCACATCCTCTGGGCCAGGTGATTTCCCCTTCCACATCCTCGCAGCTGGCGGCTCATGGACCTGCTTTGTTTCTCTGGTTTTCATAGGTAACCAGGGTAGGAGAACTCCGGCGTTTTTACCCGTGTTCTGCAGCCACATCAGCAGCTTTTTCTTGGGGACTTTTTAACCCTCCCCAGACACGGAAAAGCAGTGATTTTGTACAGAATCTTTTGCTCCTTTTCCCTCCGCCTCCCCCTTCTCACCGTACAATGCACACGTTCAGCGTGGGGAGTTTGCTCCTTGCTGTTCTCATCTTTTGGTTGATTTTTAGCTGTAAAACTTGCACCCCAGCTTCATGCCCCGCAGCATTTGAAAGGTTTGTTCCTATCAGCCAAAATGTTTACTCCTCTTTTCTTCCCTCCTCGTAGCTAGTTTTCATTATTAATAAAAGAAAAAACCCAAACCCAAGGCCTAGAAATTGCCAGAGATCCCCAGACCCTCCCTACTTCACACGTGCTGTGTGTCCCCGTGGCACAGCTCCCTGCTCACCAAGTTTCAGTGTCCTCTTTTAACCATCGGTCACTTGGGACAAACCCCATCCCTGCCCGTGTCGGGGCTGCCCAGCTCTCCATGGGTGTTTGTTTCTCTGTCTGACGCCGCCTCTTGAGCAGCATCTCAGTCTCCAGCCTTTCCTCTCCATTCACCTCCCAGCAAACCAGTTTCTCCAAAGGGTTTGTGCCGTCTGGTTTTCCCTGCAGAAAATACCACGGATGTGCACGTTGATCCCACCTCTCCACAGCTGGAAAAAACAAGCAGTGGCAAAGTTCCTCAAAACTCAGGTTTTGGGGCACTGCTCCCATCGCTGAATGTGTGCAGCTGGACAGCCACGAAACACAGATCCACGGCGGTTTCTGATGGAGTGAGGCAAGGCTGGGAGGAGAGCAGCACTGCTGGGATGGACTGGTGCAGCGGGAGAGGCCAGGAGGAGCTGGGTGGAGAGGGCTGACAGGGTGGGGGTTGACAGTGGCTGCAGTCCCCAGGGCAGAGCCCGCTGTCCTTACCCTGGAGGTGAGGATTCGGTTGGGTGTAAAACCATTGCTCCCATCACACCAGTGCCCAGTGGCCAGGACACTCGTGTTAGGACCTTCAGCACCCTCCTATCGTGCTGGAATAGCAAACCCATTTCTGCTCTTGCTTCTTTCAAATATAATTTCATTTTTGAAATAAAAAAGTACCCCTTCCACTGTGCACACAGACATGGAGCTTTCTGATTTTCAATCAATCACAGAATGGCAGGAGTTGGAAGGGACCTGGAAAGCTCATCCAGTCCAACCCCTGCCAGAGCAGGATCACCAGACCAGGTCACACAGGAACACGTCCAGGCGGGTTTTGAATGTCTGCAGAGAAGGAGACTCCACAACCTCTCTGGGCAGCCTGGGCCATGCTCTGGCACCCTTAAAATAAAAAAGTTTTTCCTCATCTTCAGCTTGAACCTCCTGTGCTCCAGCTTGGGACCATTGCCCCTTGTCCTGTCATTGGACATCACAGAGCAGAGCCTGGCTCCTTCCTCCTGACACTCGCCCTTTACAAATTGATCCCCATGAATGAGAGCAACCCTCAGTCTCCTTCAAGCTAAAGAGACCTAAGAGATTAAGCTAAGAGATTTTGGAAGCAGACTTGGCTGTGTTCATGCAATTTATGGTTTTGGGGCGTTTTTTTGGTTTTCAGTTTCAGACACCGGGCACTGAAATGGAAGATTTTAATTATTTCATGAGCCAGTGCCATGTGTTAACTTCCTACTGGCTTGTGCACTTGATGTACCCTAAAAACAAGTGCTGGTACGCTGGCATCCAGAACTGGGGCTTGAAGGGGAGCAGAACCCTTGGATACGGAGGAGTTTTCAGAGCTGAAAAGCAAGCAAAGCCCAGCCGATGCCATGCTGCAGATTTCAGTTGTTTGGTTGTGTGCCTGGAGTTTCATGTCAGCTGTGGAGCTCTACTGCCCTTCTGTCCTGTCCTGCTTTTTCCTTGGCTTAAAACCCCTGCAGAGTTTATGATCAAATCTCATTCATTCCACCTGAACATGTCACCTGTTAACACCCACCACGCATGAAAATACCGCTCCTAAATGAAATGTGCCAAGTCAGCAGTGTGTGTAAAAGAGTTAAAATCAGGAGTACAACCCCCGTGGTTGCTCTGCTGCAGTGCAGACGTGGGCTGTAAGGTCCTGGCCCGGCTCCTGGCGTGACTCCAGTGATCCCTGTTCTTACCACCCTGTCAGGAGCATGGGAAGCGAGTGAATGTGTTTGTGACTTTGGTACCAGCGCTGGGGCAGGAACATGTTCTGGTTTTGGGTGGCAGTACTGATACTTCTGACCCAAGTTTGTCTGGAGTGGCTGAAATTTCAGTGCTCCCTTGGCAATTGGCTCTGCCTGGCAGTCAAGCACCAGCCCCTTCCCTCCTGTTCAGAGTTCTGAGCCAAAGGCTTTCTGCTCATGATTTCAGTCATCTTGCTTGCGCTCAAGAGCTTTTGGCACAGTTTGGCTTGGACACGGGGGTGTTTAGAAGGGGCCAGCACAGGCTGGTCACAAGAGCACAGCAGACGTTATGGTTTGAGCTCACTCTCCTGCATGGTTGTGTCAGGAGAGAGGGCTTCCCTCTTGGTTAAAAAGCTGCATGTTGCTCCCCTGCAGCTTCGCTCTGTGCCTGCTGCTCCTCTTGCTGTGCAGAGACAGCGGCCAGGGCGGTGGGTACGGCTGTGCAGGACCGGGTGCTGCAGGCAGCGTGGCCGGCTGTCTTTTCCCTCAGTCAGAAGGTGTTTGGAGCTGTTGTCTGCGTGCTGACATTTTGCAGGGCGGTGGGGATGGAAACCTGCGTGCTTTGACTGCCCTTGTGTTTACCCTGCAAACTGTCAGCAGTTTTCCTCCTGCCAAGGAGGAAAGCAGAGCCAGTGCTCTGGGGTCTGCAGAGGAGACTCTCGGTGCGGAGCATCCCATGCAGATGAGTTACTGGGGTCACCTCCCGCTAGCTGTCGTGTTTCCAAAAAGCACTTTGGGAGATACAGCGTCTCTCGCTGCTTTGATGCAGTTCCCCTTTCTACTGGAGAAGCAGCGTCTCTGCTGCACAAGGGCACCCTCAAGATCATAAGAGTTACTGCAGCTTCACCTTCATGCTGTCTGAACTGTTCTCCAGCATAGCCCAGGCTCTATTAAGTGGTTTATTGACACACACTGCAGTGCTGTGTCCAGGAGCAGCCCTGCAGCATGTCAGTGGCCAGGTTTCTTTACTTATCGTGGCTTTTTCTTTGCTCCAGATTTCCCTTTCTTCCCTTTCCCTTTCTGCATTGATAGCCGTTTCTCCTGCATCTTCTTGAGGGCTTTGTAGGGTCCAAGGTGTCTGCGGACCATTGTACCTCTCCACCAGGCCTGCAGCTGGAAGCAAGAGAGAGAGGGGTCTTAGGGGAAATCATTTGCTGGGGTACCTGGTACAGCTCAATGGCCAGAGCATCTCCCCTGCGTTCCCCACTGTGGGAGGGAACCCCTGGCCCCCGCAGCAGCAGTTGGGCCTGTGCTGGTTTACTCTGAAGGTGTCCACATCTGGGCCAAGGGCATCTTGCACTTGGGCAGCTGCACTGCCTCCGCTTTGCTCCCCTTTACCTTCAGGACGCTCTTAGGTCTCGTTGTTTTATTTCAGCCTTCTTTTCTGCGCAGTAACTGATGACGGTTTCCTCAAACATCTTACACTGAAAGACAGCACAGGGGTGGCAACAGCTGCATGAAAAACACGTCCTCAGTGCTTCAGGGCTGACCTTCCAGGCTCACCAGGATCCTGGGGCGAGGAGTCTTCTCCTCTGGCTGCCTCCTGGTCTGCACGCATTTCACAGCCCAACAGGGCTGCTCTGGCCCGTGGGTCACAGTTTGGGTCCCCACGCTGTGCACCGAGGGGTTCCCTGGTAATGTGTAAGCGTGGGCCATCCTCCCCCACCTCCCTTATTTGATCTTTCCTGAGTCCAGATGGCAAATGTTGCTCATTACCCCCACCTAAGGCACTGAGAGCGCTGCCAAGGTGAAACCTCTTAATGGCCTGCGCGTAATTAACCCTCAGCTCCTGTGCTGTGAAATGGCTGAGGGCGTCCCAGGCAACAGATGGTAGCAGGAAGGACCTGTGCTGGGCTGGGCAGCAGATGATGTGCAAACACACTTGGGACGCTGAGGTGACGGTGCACAGGGTGAAAAATGAGCCCGCAAGCAGGGAATTCTCTCAGATCCAGTGACAGTAAGGAATGATTACACGTTAATTCCTTCTGCCTTTAAAACACCCCTTCTTCTAGACACTTCTCTCTGCTCTGCTGTGATCAGAGCCCAGCAGTGAACTGAAAAAGTGATATGGGGCAGGAATGATTGTAGCCAGAATTGGTTCCCTTGTAACCCAGCCCTGTGCAGCCGTGAATGTGCCTGCAGGAAGGGGTGAGCTGCCTTTTCCCATCACAGACTTACCCAGCTGTTAGGAGGGATTTTGTTCAGACTAAAGCAACATTGATGGGATGGGATGGAGTCTTTGCCCCTCACAAAGGCTGGTAATAGCACTCTGATTATTTGCTGGTATTTGAAAATAGCTGTAAGGGGAAACATCCTCATCCCTCCTTGATATTACAGGTGGCAAACTGAAGATGCCTACTTGGTCTCTGCCTTCCCAGGACCAGTCTTTATAATCTCACCTACACCTCAAGGTTACTGATTTTCTTTCTCGTGGTCCTGGTTCCTGATCTGGACGCAGGTAGGAAAAAGCCAGGATGCAGTTTGGTACAGCTGAGCACTGAGACGCTGCTGGGGTCTTACCTCCGTGGCCAGTCTCTGCAGCATTTCCAGGTTGTTTGCCCTCAATGCTTTGAGGGCATTCAGCTCTTTGTCTTTAGCATCTGTGTCATTTTTGTACTTGTCCATCCAGCTCTCCAGCTTCTCTTCCACCTTCTGCATGGAGACAGAGTGGTGCTTAGCGTGGTAGAAAGAGCATACGGGGAAGGGTTTGCTCCTGTTACCTGGCCCGCTTTCAGGATTTTCTTTTCCAGGATTTTTGGTATTTCCTCCTTCTCTAAGCCTTGAAAGGATCAAACCCTTAGGACTAGTGATAAATTACGGTGGGTTGCAGCCTCCTCGCTGAGGCTTCACCACGGAGTCACAGCACTGAGCCGGGGATAGAGAGAGGCAGGGTTGGGTTTTCAGAGGTGCGCAAAGAAGCAGCGGGGGTTCGTGTTGTGCACAGTCAGTCCTGGGGAAGTAAATGGCAACCCAAAGCCATTCTTTGTGTGCAGACAGAGGGGAGGCTAAGAAACAGAATTTGACAGTGAGAAAGCTTCATCCTCTGCCTGACTCCCTGCCCCCTTTCTGGATTAAACTCGGCACACCAGGAATTGGGTCCCGGGCACCTCACGCTATTTCAGGTTGTGAGCTTGGCTTTGTCTCACTGGTGAATAGGAGGGCAGGTGTTGCCGCAACAGTCACCCCAATGACTTCCTCCCATTCACGAGTAACTTCTCCATAGCAACAGCTGTGATTGCTCGCATGGAAAAATCATCTAAGGAAAAGCATCGATCTCATTACGGTGTCACAGCTGGGCACAGGAGGGAGATGGGGCATGGACGTCCTTTTCTCTGCGGGCCCTGTAAAGCCACCAGCTGCTGTCTGAGTACACAGAGGATTGCGCTCTGCGTCCTGGTAGAGGTCAAATAGGCCGCAGCTTGGATGTGGCAAGTCCTCTCCCTCTATCCACACTGAGGCTCTAGGATATGAAGGTCGTTATGTGATTGCTCACAGGAGAGCACTTTTTTGCACTCAAATTACATTTGAAAAAATAGATTGACTTCTCTTTAATTCTGCCCTGGCAGTGATGTACGGCACTCTGCAGTAGTACACGGTTTCTTTCAGTCACACCAGTTTCTGAGATGCTTTCCAGCGTTATTCACTGTGATGGGCACTGCTGTTGATGATGGAAAAGCTCTGAATCAACAGCACAAGGACTTTCACTGTTGTTTGCTACTAAAAAAATGGGTACAATCATTGTGAGTTAGCAATTATCCAACCCTGATCCTTCCTTCTTCCTTTGCCTTCAGATAAGGCAAAAACCACCTAAATAAACAATACCAGTCATTACATGAACTCTAATTTTAAGAAAATGTGTCCAAATGTAGCAACTCCTCAATCTGGGAGAGCTGTGTTAATTTACAATTAAGACTTGAGGGTAAGTGGTCATTTGAACAGCGGCCACTGTGAACCTGGTGAGTTTGATGGAGCAGTAATTGGTTTTAGGCACTACCTGATGGTACAGTGATTATCAGCTGCTGTGGTAAGCATTAGCAGAAGGTGACACGTACCATTTGGTGTCGTCTGAGGAAATTCTCCATCTCTGTGTGGATTCGGATCTCCTGGTCAGTTTTGGTCCTCAGCTTCTGTGATCAGCACAGGCAGAAGATGTGAGAGACAACGTTAGTGCAGATGCGTGCGCACCCGTACGTGCTGCTGAAATCATTCGGTTGGAAAAGACCTTTACGATCATCGAGTCCAACCATCTGGGGAGCTCTTACCTGAATTTCATTCTCCAGGACCTTCTCTGCATTGCTGCACTGCTTCTGGGTTTGGTGGACCTTGTGGTCTGTGCTTTTCTTCATGTAGCATCTGTCCATGGTAGTCTTGGCCCTCAGCGGTTCGAGCTCATCTCTGAGGCAGGCGATCACGCTGTCTCGCTTCTGGTGGAGGAGACAGAAGCAGCACAAAAGCAAGCCTGGAGACTGCCGTCAGCTCACCGTTTCTTAAGCTCTCCAAACCCTGACAACCTCAGCAGAAACAAGGCTACAGGCTTCACACTTTCGCCAAATGTTGCCTCCTTTCGAAGGGAAGTTTGATTTGTAACCCCTGCAGAAGGCAATAAACTCATCAGTGAGGAGCGGTGACCTCTGGAGAGGGTGGAGAAATGACCAGAGTGGGACAAGAACCCTCTGGTCCAGCTTTGGATTCAGTCATGCTTATTACAAGCATCAAAGAAGCCAAATAATTTCAGCTGCTTAAAGTTAGGCTTTACCATCCTCTTGGATTAGGCTGTCTCAGTGAGTGAGGTGATGATAATGCCTCAGCCCCACATAAGCCACAGTTTTATTTCATAGTTTATACTCAGTTCCTTGGATTCATTTTTTCCTACTTACATAGCAACTGTAGAAGCACAACCTTAGGAACAGGTGAAAATCCAATCTTGTCTCACTCATATGTTTAAACAGCTCTTTCTTGAGCTCTTACCAGGTCCATGGTGCCCACTTTGTTATAAAAGCACGCACCCAGGGCAAGGGAAAGCTGGGTATGAGCTCCCGAGCCTTGTTTCACAACGCAGCTGAGCTTTCCCGAGGGAATTCTGTTGCCAGGAGCTCCCCCATGGCTGAGAATCCCAAGCCACCATGCCCCGTTTGTCCAGCTTTTGGAGCGTGCTCAGGGAGCAAAGCGCGTTTGCTTGATTTGGGCTTGTTTCATTTACTCCTTTTTCATCAGTTTCTTTGAGTAAGAGATAAAAGTTCATTGCTCTGGGGCTGGAACTTGCAAGAACCACCTGTAAAATGAAAAACTCTAGATTTTTGTGTTAAGAGTCCTGTGCCATTATGCAAGATCAATGTTAACACATCTGGTTTGGCACCCGATTGCTCCATTACAGCCTCCCCCTTAGCTCTGAGGGGTTTGACATTCATCAGCCAAACCTTGCTGACATGAAGATGAAACACCAAAGTGCTGGCACTGAGATGTTTTGCAGCCCACGGATCTGGTCTCTGCAGCGCCCTCGCGTTCCTTGGCTGTGCAAACATGGAAAAATGCCATAGGAAGAAGGCAGCTCAACAGCGCCGTGTTGAAAAGCCCATGCAACGTGACTCATCTGGAAAAGGTTTCCTTATAAGAAGAGTTCGGAGCAGTTAAAAGGAAAATCCAGCCCTCTGCACCCCTTGCTGGACATAGTTAGGAAGAGTAAAGTGTATTTATAAGGCTCAGGACAATTATAGGCCTTGGCCGATGCTGTTTTGTGGGTTTAAAAGTCAAGCATTCGAGTTTTTTTGAAGGTTTCCAGCATCAGATATTATTTTATGGCCATATCATTGTCTGACTGCAGACAGCTACGGATGTGACCTATTTGTGCCCTATTAAGGTTTCTGGTGATGGCCTTTACTGGACATGGGAGGTGACCATACCACTTGTTTTTTGAGGTTGCTTTCCTGTATCATAGCGCAATCACATCTAAATTGAGGGGTTGGCAGAGGAACTGGGGAGACACTAATGAAAAACACCCATTTTTTGTGGCTCTGGGGCTCAACAAAACCAACTGCTGCTGCTGTCTGTGTTACTGCTGTCTGTGTTACTGCTGTCTTACTGCTGTCTGCCAAGACCTGCAAAAGAAGGGTTCAGCCTAGGTTACGGAGCACTCAGCTATTAGACAGGTGGGGCAGAGCGTCAACGCTTCACCGGGTTATTTTCTTTTTAATTTCATATTTTAGCAAAGCAGAGGAAAAAGTGCTTTTGATTCCAGCGCCCCAGGCCTGAGCCGGGATGGGGGCCCATCTGCTCCGCTTGCTTGCTTTGTTGTTTGGCGCATTTGTGGTTTGGACTGGGGCTGCGGTGTTGTAAAACATCTCGGGTAGAGGTGGGGAGGCGGGGGGCTCAGTTACACAATCCCCAGCAGACGGGGAGTGAAATGCAAAACCCCACGGGTGGTTTCCAGCAACGCATTGGCTCAGAGGGGGAAAGTCAGTGGTGGGCGTGTGGGCAGCTACTGCAGCTCTGCCAGTGGTGCTGCAGAAATGGGGCACATTTGGTATTAGGATGCAGGTAGGAAATGCCCACAACCTGGGGGCACCATCTGTGGAGTGCGCTGCTCCCTGAGCTTCCGGGGCAGGCACTGGGAAAATGATTTAGTATTTCTTCCTCCTGGTTTATCATAGCAAAGGTCCCAGCCAGGACACAGCGCTCTTTCATAGTTAACGCAATAAACCTGTGGGCTGCTTATTCCAGATGACTTCAGCGTTGAATCTGCCAAGCCAAAGATGCAAAATCATAGCTCGTGTGTCCAAAACTATCACAAAACTGGCAGAGACCAGGATCAAAACTCAGGAAATAGCAGTCAGGAGCCAGTCTGCTTCGCAAGCTGGTAAACAAGCTGGATTTTCTCTGATGTCTCAGCTCGCAGCCATCAGCTCCGAGGCCTGGCTGCTGCTGTTCCCTGGTACCATAGGAGTCTGCCCCACGGATGCTGTTTGGCTGCAAAAGCAACTGCATTTGGCTGGAGAGGGTACGTGCGCTCCTGGGTTCTCACTGACTTTGATTTCTCTCCCTTGCAAGTACAACCCAGATCTCTCTGCTCCTCCCCAGCAATTAGTATTTACAATCTCTTAAAATACAGCTGGTTGCAAAAATAGCAAACAGGAGTAAACAGGCTGAGGAATTCCTGCGGCCGTCGGATAAACTCCCGCCGCCAGCGGCACACCCCGTGCGTGCCATTTGGAGGGGGCATGGGAGCGGGTGCTGTGGTACGTGCAGCAGCGAGCACGCTGCCTGCCTCCGTGCTTCCACCCCGAGTGCGTACGAGCTCACGTCTTTCCACCAGCAGCTGCGATATCTCAGCTTGCAAAGCCTGGAGATATGCTCAGATCTCCACACCTGCCGTGGCCTGGACTTGCTGCCCCTGGAACAGCAACGTGCAGCCCTGCAGACACTTCAGTAGCGCCATAGCCCACATCTCTGCCCCCGAGAAATGCCTCAGCTGAAAGGACAGCAGGCTTGGAGCGTCACCCAGCCTTGATATAACGGCTTCTGATCGCTGATCCCAGCCACTGCAGGAGCGAGCTGTGTGAGGGGCCTTTTGCTGGCAAAGGGAGCAGAGCTGTTGGCAGCAGCACTCTTCTCAAAAGCCCTGTTCTCCTCAAACCAGGTTTGGATCCACTGCACCAGCTTCGGTTCTGCTGAGCTGCCTTGATATAAGATCTAATAAATTCTCCCAGCAGGGGAATGCAGTTGCCCAGAAGCTCAAGACCAGCGCAAGACTTGAGCCTTTCACTGTAATCATCTGGTGCATTTCTCCAGTAGAAACATGCACAGTGGGTGTGTGTATATGTTTAAAACATCCCCCAGAGCACTTCATTGACGCATTTGTCCTCTTGGGAGAGGCTAAGGGAAGAAATGTGATGGGTTTTAGCTGCACTACTGAAAGCTCTACTGAGTGGCGCACCGAGCCAGCGGAGCTGGGTGTGTTAAAGTCACAGACCTGTACCACTGGTACCACTGGTACTGGTATCTTGGTTTTCTGTCGGGTATGTAGCCTGCAATATTACTGCTTGTTATAAAAGTACACCATAACTCACACACGTGTATGGCATGGGTATACCACAAAACCTACAGGACATTAAAAGCCTCTGGGTGAATAGCAATGCAGGAATTCTAACGTTTACATTGCCTCATTTTTTAATGTTAAACTACATCATTCTGTATGATACTAATTTGTTTCAAAATCTGTACAGCCAGCCATCCCTTGTCCAGGAAACTGGAGAAAGTGATTATTTTTGTACAAGCTAGAAAATGAACAGTGCAGCAGCAAACAGAATCCTTGCAGCCAAAGCAGAGCTATCGGGGATGCTCCTGCACGGAGTGGTAAGAGCAAAAGCAGACTCTTCATTTCAGCTCCTTTAGAGACATCCGTGCTTTCCAAGAGGAAAGAAAACAAAATAAATGAGAATATTTAGCATTTGATTTGTGTTCCATTGGAAAGAAACATGAGCTGAGCAGGCTAATACAGCATTAATGAGCATCTCATTAAGAGCAGAAAATACAAACATGCAGGCAACGCGTGTGAAGCAAAGACCGTGTTTTTCTGGTTCTGTGATCAGATTTGCTCGCTTTTGTTTTGTCATCCACTAGACTGGAGACAACCATGTAGGCTTTTGTCTCCAGGTCTGTGCATTATTATTGTTCAAAGTACTCCAAAATAAGCAAGCTGTATTTTTGTTTTAAATGAGTTGGCACGGTGACAAATCATGCAAGTGTCTGTAAAACTGCCTATGGGAAAATCCCATATGAAGTGAATAGAGATTATTCTCCCTTGGGAGACACAGTGAGACATCATTATTTTTGGCACAGGAGGAAAGGAGTACTTGAAAGTAGTCTTGTCTTTGAATTGTTATCAAAGCTGAAACTATAAGGAACCCCAGAAAAGGACTTTAAAGCTGGAATTGTAAAAACAAAATCCCAGATGAGTGCAAATCCCACTTAATGAGGCAAAAAGCAAGAACAGAATTAGCAGAAGGTACTGAAAGCACACGGAGAAGAGCACCCTCTGTGCACGGGAGCTGTGCACCTTCCTATGGCTGCAAGGGGCAGCAGAGGTGCAGGGCAGGACACAGGAGAACCACATCATCGTATTCACCAGCTTGGGGAGTGGGAGAACAGGAGCTTCCCAGGAGCCATCCGAATCTGACTGAGAATGGACAATGTGCAGAAGCAAATGGACAGAAACAGGCTCTGAGCCTGACAAAATACCCAGCTCATTTCATTTAACTGCCACACAGATATCAAGGGACTTCTGAGTTCTCCCGTAGGGCCTGGGAATAGGCTCCCATAGCATTTCCAGTGGCAGTAATGTGTACACTGAGCTATACAGCTCCCCTTTTCAGTCCCGGCTCTGCCCTCTACATCCTTCGGATGTTCTGTTCAGATCTGTAAGGATAAAAGGTTCATCCTTCATTTCTCTTTCAGTTCCCACAAGTGTTAATTCTTGCTTTGTCTCCTAACTAGCTAACTTTCCATTTCCTTCCATGACTACTCCTTTTTTCTCCCTGTTATGTCCACAATTTGAGTGTTCTTTTCATCTTGCTACACTTCTCAGTGCAAGTTAAACATTTCCAGGATCTCCACTGAGATGAGTACTGACCTAAATACATTTGTCCATCTTGTACATTCCT